CTTAAAATATAGGTTTCTAACAAAAATATAAAAAATGTATAGAATCTAATTATTGGGGGGGGGGGGTCGTCCTCTATTTCAGTAAATACAGTACTTTGCATGTGGTAAAACAAGACTCAGCGATAAAATTACTTGTGCAATGTGACCAAGTAGATATTAAAAAACTGGGACTGAAAAATAAGGACTCGTGTTTCTCAAATCTGTACTCACACAAATGAAGTCTTCTTATATATTTTAGTACTGTCAGCATATGCCTTACATTAAAACAACGTGTTTATATTTTTCTAATGACCACTTAATACCAAAATAAGAAGAGTCACTTGGCAAGAAGACATTACAACAGGATTCAATGCCACCCCACTCTTTTGAATGAAACTGCATATATGGAAATATCACTTTCACAGATTGCTATGGCTAGAAGTTCTCTTTCTGTCTATGCAATTCTAGGTTGCAAAAGCCCAGACATGCATAACACATGACTAAGAGAGGGTTCTGTTCCATTGAAAAAAGAGTTTAGTCAACTTAACAGTTAACCAGTCATCTCTATTTACCTTATTACGGCCCACTCAAGTAAAAGACACACCATAGACAGATGTAACAATTGTACCCATCAGGATATCTTAAGCTAGGATATATCCTACTTTAGGTCTTCAGTGCAATGAATTTCAATTCAATGGCCTTAATAATATACAGAAAGCTTAAGATCTTAGTTTTTTAAAAACAGCTATGTTTCAACTAGGAGTGGGAACTATCAAATTATCTAAAGAACACATAACCATTGACATCACACATTATTTTAGCAGTGATTTTTCTGTTAGGGATCCTAAGGCAATTTATTCTTCACACTTCATTTATTGTATTTTTGTCAACATTGTTCTTTAGACTGTCTATTGTACCAGCAGTTTGTATGCCATGGATAAAAAGCAATTACAAACTGAACCACAACCATCATCATCAATTTAAAAATTAGTAAGAACCATCTCATCAATATGTAAGAGCTGAATTTTAACCAAGTAATTCACAAACCACTGCAAGTCTACATAGACAAATCACCATTCCCCACCCCATTCTGCAAAGCAACTTACTGCTTGTCCTGAAAAAGGATCAATGAAGTCTGCCCAATATCCTTCAGCACTCAGCGCATAGCAAATCTCTTTGGCACCATTAATGAACTAAAAGAGAAGAAATATAAATCACATTAAAATGGAGGTACTCCTTTTATATCTAAATATAAAATCAATTTTTAAAAGTGGGAGTTCATGAAGATCTTTAATTTACACCAAAAAATGTGAAGTTCAACACAATAGAAAAAGATCAACACTACTAAGAGGATTAAAATTAATGACATATTACACTATGACAGTCACATGAGATCTTAAAAGAAATTCTTTATAGCAGAAAGTAAAGGATTAAACATTTGTACAACCAGGATGATGTAATTACTTTGATTGCTCATGCAGATTGCAATCATACCTGTTAACCTCTTTAAGAAGCAGTCATTACTTCATGAAGTTCTCTATTTCTCCATTTCACAAGTCACTTATAGAGCAAACCTGTTTTTCCTAATTTGATGCTATAACATTTCAAACAAAGATATAAATGTAATGAAAAGGCTTGTTTTTGTTCAAAATATATGTAAAGCTGGACATAATAACGTGAGATTGTTCAATTACAAGCCAACAGCAAATGCTCTTAAACAGAAATCAGAACACTAACAGCTCTAGTTACAGATACTGAAATAGTTTCATAAGCATTCTGTTTTTTGATTCTTGAAATTAATTACCATTTTGTAATTAACAGTGGGCAAGATCAGTGGGCAATTCCATTCTTCCAAATATTTTCAGCGTAAACAACGAAAGTTTTGCTCCTACATTTTTCAAACAAATGACGGAGACCAATTAATTCAAGTTTTATAATATTTTCAGAAAAAAGGTATCACATTTTCTTCCCCAATTAAATATCCCCAAAGCATGAACTCAAAAATTGTAAGAATTTATCTTCTGAAAATGACAGCTTCTGTATAGCAATTGATCAGATAAAACAAAGATTTGGTTGTTATCTATGGTGTCAGAATTCATTAATTTGTTTGACACGTAAAAGAAACAAACCATAATCTTAAGAAGAGTTACAGCTGTGACATCCACACTGACCAGATTACATACCATGCTAACCTTGAGGCTGTTTTGGCATGGCAACAAGCCACAAACAATCATGTGATAAGGCTTCCAATTCTCTCTCTTTTGCTGCATTAGGTAGCCTATCTCTCCAAATACACATAAATGACTGAATTTACTTTTGTTACTCTTCCATGGATGCCAATCTCATTACTTTAAAAATAAAGAAATATAAAGATGCCAAAGTTTGTAAACTTGTACATTATTCTTATGCTTGTACTCCAGACTCATAGTTCTGCATATCAAAATTTCAAATCCAGATTACGCTTAGTAGACTTGTCATTTAGGGGGCTTAAAACAGGAACAGTTCTCTCAAAAAGTGAACTATTTTTCAGTTTCTTTTAAGATAGTTATCTATGTATTTTATTTTTAAATACACATAAACAATCTAAAGACAGCATTTAATGCTGCATCTTTCATATATCAGATCTTTTGACCCTATGTTGTAACAATCTCATAGCAATCACTTAAAGTGATGTTAATTAAAACTTGAGACTAACGACTGTAAACACACAGATTTATTTGTCTGTCAATAACCTCTTTAGCAAAAGCCTCTCACATTAAATTAGTACTTCAGAGGTTATTTCTAACCATCTATGCAGCAAACAAATAGACCATTTTATTGTGAATTTGCTGTTAGTAACCTTTAGGCCAGGAGGTTACATCTAACATCCCAACACCCCTACAATGACTACATTAGACTTGACAGGGGGGTGCACAGAGAAGGAAGAAGACAATTAACATATAATTAGACCAGATTACAACGCTAAAGACCAACAGACCAAAAATAATTTGAAGACAAGAACACGCCAAAATGAAGGGAGTTTTATGAAATCTTCATGTTGAAGCTTCAGATGGCTTTTCTTGTAGTAAAGGTTTACATGGCCTTTACTTACAGACTGCAGTCACTTACAAAACTTGGAAGATAATTAATAGAACTATGTTCAAGCTTAGTGTTTACTAGCAGTGATGCTCACCCATCAGATGTAAGGCCCCTCCCTCTACAGGCAGAATTCTCTATTTTTGTAAATGTATACAGTTTTAAAAGAGTTACATTTTAGTTACTATAGTTGGAGAAAAAAATTGCAGTAGTAAATACTGACATCTACAGGATTAGGTCATTAAAAAAATACAAAACATATCAAGTAAAAGTTACGAGAAAAGAAAAGAAGAGAAAAGAGAAGACATGACACACCTTTTGTGGTAATTCAGTTTGATTTGGCTATACTAGGCAAAAGTGAAAACTTATTTTTTGTGTATGTCAATCATTTTCTTGTAGAAATAGACTAAATTAATCAACGTTAGAATTCAGTGGAACATATTGCTCTAAAACTGCAACAATAAGGAAAGACAATTACTCTCACATAAGGAGACTCTATTAGTCTTCTCGCTATAAAGCAAAATAATTAATACTTTTCAGTCCAAAAGTTCTTTGCATAAAAAAAATCCATGAACTCTGCAGAACTGGTTTAAAAAAGTCCTCATTTTCTCAATAGGAATAATTTGGTTAATGGCTACTGTAGAAGCAAATTATACAGTACCAAGTGCCAGAACTAAACTCACGAATAATATATGAACAGAAAGAATAAACTGATACCATTTAAAATACTTACATTTTCTAACAGCATCTCTCTTTCATCCTCTACTTCTTGACTCCATGCAGTCATATCATTGTTAGTTTTCTGAGTTACAGTTAGAACAGTTACATTTTTGACAGTCACCTCTGGAAATAAGGATTCAAAATCTAAAGAAAATAAAATCCACATTTAAGGGTCTAACAGGTTGGCTTTGCATATTTCTCTATACTTTTTTTCTAATGGTACACAAGTGAATGTTGGCAAATGTCAATTATTGTATTCACTGCCCTATACTGTGACTTAATTAAAAAATGTTTCAACCTTATAAACACCATGTTGACTTGCCAAGAGTCACGAAGTTACAAAACCAACTGGTCTCTAAACTTAGTCCTGTTCAACTAATCCATGGTCTTTCTAGAAAGCAGAGAGAAAGACTTTACAAGAAAACAAAAGAAACAATATATTAGATAATAGAAGTCTGTCTTGTACACTGAATAAAAGACAACAGTCAAAATAAATCTCAATTATACAGAAAAAAAATAAGGAAAAAGGTTAACCATTGATTCATTAATTTGTATGTTATTTGTAAAATAATTTAAAACATGCACTTGCTTTTCACCTTAAAATAATAGTTTGATGTGAAATGCCACTTTAGCAATCATGTTGTTATGGATTACTTCTTAAAATGTGCTTAAATTTTGAAGGTTTAGAAATACTGTATACACTACAGGTTTAATTAGCTGGTCAGCATCTCAGTTTTTAATGTTATAAAAACTGCCAAAAAGAGCAAAAAATATACCTTTTCGTAAGATTTCTGGACAAGTTTGTACTGCACATTCTACCTTTGCATTTTCAAAGTATGTTTCTGCATTATTAATTTGCTGTTTATGTGAGCGATCAGCACCCTGAAAAAGTCAAGGAAATATAAACGGTAACTTTCACATTTATTTCTACGCAAAATGAACAAGACTGTAGTTCTGGTGGTAGTTTCATGAAAATAATGCCTGTAGCAGCTGGAACACACACAAGTAAGTTTCTTATAACGGGCTTAAACAAAAACGAAACAAATAAACAAAAAAATTTTAAAATGCTCACGGGATGCACTTCTGAGGTAGATAAAAATTGTTACCCTAACATACCAGTGGGGAAACCAACTCATGGAACGGCAAATTGTTTAGTTAAAAAACAAACCTGAGATTAAATGGGTTAAACTCATGTTTTAGTTCCAGGCCTATGCTTTGACAAGGGTAGTGCTGACTTGTAATAGAATAGCTTAGTTTCTGATCAGCCAGTGATGATTCTAACCTACGGTGTGATTTCTTATTCATGAAAAAATAAGCATTGTTCTCACATCTATAGCCGTTACATCCAAAACTAATGTCCTAAACTTCAGTTCTTCCTAGACCAAATGTAAGTTTATAAGCTTTGATGACTACACTTACGATTCTAGCCCTTCTATGTTTAAGTTATTTTAAAATTTTATTAAATATAGTACATGAAAAAACCCAACTTGTTTACTCAACCTGCCTCTTGCTTCTCGCATTCTCTTTCCATCCATGACTTCCATTACATTTTGATGCTGTTCTCTGCACATGCTCTCCTGTTTCTGGTCTCTCTTTCCTACCTACAATGCCTGAAGGAGTTCCTTTCATGACAGAAAAGATGTCTGTCTCCCATCTGCCACCCTGACAAATGCCCTTAATTCCCTTTCACTTACCTGTTTTACAAATTCACCAGACACCTAGTAGTCAGACGACTAAACCTATTTACCAAAGACCAATATCTTCTTTTCCTGTCGACCAAGTGTTGGGAAAAGAAGGATGCTCTCTACTGACCTTGCTCAGATAAATCTTTTGAATCAACCTTCAACATGCAAGGGTCAGATAAATTTGAGGCCAATACAATCCCCTCCAGGTGTTGGAAAAGTGGGTGGGCCTCAACTAATCTAACCACTCCCCAGGCTGCTGGGATGGATGAGATGAATGCCTCTGCTACTCTAACCCTTCCCCCACTCTCTGTTTTGGCTCCTGTTTCCAAGTGAATGGCTTCAGTGTTTGCCTTTGCTAGTGCTCAGAGCCTTCCCAGACAGCAGCAGCGTGAAATTGACCTAATTCTTGCCCACAGCAGGCTGAACAGCAGCGTGGAAACTGACCTGATTCTTGCCCACAGCCTG